TTTCACTGAGCCCCTGTCTCCCAATTTATAAAGTGGAGGTAATAATACACAAGTTTCTCTGGATTATCCCAACAACTAAATGTCAAGTATGCTGAATAAAGCATCCCAGCAAATGTGAATTTCCACTTTTTAGCAAGGTTTGCTGTACAATTCAGCCTCTACATAACATAAGCAGGCCTTTGGGGAGCTTTTTTCAGCTCTAAGTAAAAAGGATTGAGAAAATTGGTACCAACTTTAAGACAGTTGCGGAAGTGTCGGCACAGTTGTGGGGGAGACTAGATGATTGAGAGTCAGCTTAGTAAAACCTTGGAGCCCAGGCCTGCAGTTTCCCCTCTGAGTGGCTGTCAATGTATAACCTAGAAAAGACCCTCGAAATTACTCACCTAAGCAGACTTGGGGGCTTCTGCTTATCTCCCCTTCTTGGAAACCCAGACTTCTTTTGTGGATTTTTGCTGAATTATATAGATTATAAAAATACAAAATATATTTACAATAAATGTATTTTATTATATATCTAATGTATATTTATATATTAGATAAATATATGATACTTACATTTAATTTTTATGTTATATAGTACTATATAATATTAAGTATAATATTGATAACATAATATATTTTTATTATATAACACTGTATATTAATATCTATTTGTGTAGTAAATAAGTATATAATATTTATAATATATAAGAAGATATAGAATATATATAAAACATAAAAAGACTTTTAAATCTTTTGGGGTCTGAGGCTATAGTTCCGTAGTAGAGCATGTGCAAGACTTTAATTCCTAGACTGAATGTTGAAGGTAATTATCAGCAAACTGAAGACTTCTAAAGCAGTGATGGCCAATACATTGTGATAGTAGGGCTTGGTGGCAATCTGTGAACTAGGTAATTAGTACCTTTAGCTTACTAGTCTAGGTGAAAAAACTATATTTATATTGCTTTGAAAGGACTTTTTCATGTCTAGAAATGCCTTATATTTGTGGGCATGATGTTGAAAAGTGAATTCTGCCTTAAAATGCTGTCATTTTCTCAGAATGAGGCTTTTTTTTTTTTTTTTTTTTTTTTTTTGGTTTTTCGAGACAAGGTTTCTCTGTGTAGCTTTGTGCCTTTCCTGGAACTTACTTGGTAGCCCAGGCTGGCCTCGAACTCACAGAGATCCGCCTGGCTCTGCCTCCCACCGCCCGGCCAGAATGAGGCTTTTTAAAACTAGTGTTTGTTGTTTGTTCTGGAAAAACAATGGCAGCAAAACTGTTCAGTCTTTGGAGAGTTGATCACCAAGCACTGTTGAATTCCCACTGACCTGGGGCTCATTTCAAATGTCCAGGAGAGTTGATCACCAGCCCTGTTGAGTTCCCAGTGACCTGGGGCTGCTTCAAATGTCCAGGACAGTTGATCACCAGCCCTGTTGAGTTCCCACTGACCTGGGGCTGCTTCAAATGTCCAGGACAGTTGATCACCAGCCCTGTTGAGTTCCCACTGTCCTGGGGCTGCTTCAGATATCCAGGAGAGTTGATCACCAGCACTGTTGAGTCCCTACTGTTCTGGGGCTCACTTCAAATGTCCAGGAGAGTTGATCACCAAGCACTGTTGAGTTCCCACTGTCCTGGGGCTGCTTTAAATGTCCAGGAGCTAAGGAAAGAGAAGAGAAGGGAAGACTCAAAGCTTAAACCCCATCAATGAGGTGGAACACTGTCTTTTCTTTTGTTCTTCAGAGTGAGGAACCATGATGGACTTCCCTCAGGGCATTCAACTTAGTTTTCATTGCTATAGCTCTTTGCTTTATTCAATTCATACTCCCATACAACTGACACCTTTCTTTCCTAAAGTATACAATTCACAGGTTTCACTAAGTCCACAGTTAGCTAACTATTACAGGTATCTAATTTCAGAACATTATAATTAACCTCCAAAGAAGCCCTATGTCCCTTAACAAGTACTTTCCATGTTTATGGTGATATTTTATTTGTATTAAAATGTTATTTGTATGTTAATAAATAAAGTTGCCCGGGGGTCAGAGCTATTAGCAAGCCATAGGAAAGCAGGGCAGTGGTAGCGTAGGCTTGTAATTCCAGCACTTGGTAGGCAGAGCTGGGTAAGTCTCTGTGTGTTCAGGGATACAGCCATTATTGGATACACATGCCTTTAATCTTAATACCAATCATGGAAAACCTGGAGGCCTATACAGACAGGCCGTGAGGAGGCGGTCATGTGGTTGGGTTTACAACCAATGAGAAGGCAGGACAGGAACTCTATATAAAGACTTTAACACAGGGGTAGCTCTGGTTCGGAGAGGTAGGACCACCGCAGGAGGAAGGGTAAGGTTTTAGCTCTTAGCTCTGACCTCTTGGCTTTCTTCTTTGCATTGGTTCTGTGTTTCTTATTTAATAAGAAGGTTGGATACATCTACACATGTTCTTTACACTAATCTCTGAAGAATTGTGTATTCGAACTCCTTAGCCTGTTTCTTCAAGGCCTATTTGAATGAATGCATATGAGTACTTCATTCTGTGTCCCTGAATAATATTCCATTGTGTAGTTACATCATACTCTGTGCATCTACCTATCAGTTGACAGATACTTAAGCTTTTAGGTTCTTCTGTGTATAATCACCCCCAGCCCCTTTGCATGATGGGGAACTGAATGCAGGGCTTCATATGTGCTTGGCAACTCTGTGCAACTGAACTGTACCCTAGCTGTTCTGGTTTGCTGTTCTGTTGCTGCACTAAACCATTGACCAAAAGTGACTTGGGGGAGGGGGACTTATTTTGACTTACCTTCCGGGTAATAGTACATCAGCAAGTGAAGTCAGGGCAGGAAGTCAAGTCAGGGACTTGGAGCAGAAACCGTAGGGGAACAATGCAGCCAGCTTATGCTTAGCTGGCTTCCTTGCATTCCAGGCTCACCTGCCCACAGTGAGTGACCAGTCAAGACAATCTCTCACAGATGTGACCACTGGCCAATCTGATGAAAGCAGTTCTTCAGTTGAGGGTCCCTCTTCCCAGGTGACTTTAGGTTGTGTCAAGTAAACAATAAAACTAAGCAGTACACCAGCCCTCTTCCTACTTCGAGCTTAGAGCTCACTAAATTTCCCATGCTGGTCTTAAATGCACTCTTAATAGACCTAGCAGGTCTTAAACTTGGAATTCTCCTGGCCTAGCTGTTCCAGAGTAGCTAAGGTTACAGGCTTAATTCACCAGAGCTGGCTAAATTTTTAAGAATTAGTTGTCTTGTCTTGTGATTGTGTACACACCTGTGGAGGCCAGAGGACAAACTCAGGAGTTGTTCTTCAGGTGCCATTCTCTTTCTTTTCATTTTTTCATCATCATCGTTGTCGTCATCATCATCATCATCATCATCATCGTCATCATCATAATCATCATCGTCTCATCCTGAAACTCTCCAAGTAGTCTAGGCTAGCTGACCAGGGAGCCTCAGGGATCTGCCTGTCTCTACCTTCCTAGCCCTGGGATTACAAGTGTGCTGCCATACCTAGTATTTTTATGTGGGTTCTGGGGCTCCAACTCAAGACCTTGAGCATGCAAGGCAAGCACTTTACCAACCGAGCTATCCAATATCCAGCCCTAGGATGTGTTAAAGGTTTAGGTTTATAGATACACCAACATCTCACCATGGGGGAAGGTCAGAGTGTCATTTTCATCACATCAAGCAGCTACACATCAACATGCTACATGATAGTGGATGTTGATCTTAAACCCCTGGCTGAGGTTAGATTAGATTGATTAGATTTCTCCACAAGAAAGGCTCCTCTTTACCTCTTTCTGCTGTACTTTTTGGGAGAAAAATCTCATGTGTGCAGCCCACACAGAAAGTAGTTGGGAATTGGGCTCCATCTCCAATAGCTACGTAAGTTATTTGAAATTCTGCAAGAGAGATTTCCTTTACTGATTTAATCATTGATTTTTAGCAATGTGGACACACAAATATATTTTAGACATTGAGTTATAACTCAGCTACTGTGCTCGGGATTGCACAGATTGCCCCAGTTTTGGTCACAGGGAGATCTTTAGTTGGCCCCCTTGTCACCTTTGAGACCCACCATAATGTGGGATTTGGTTTTGTTTTTGAGCATCTCCTTACACTTTTTCACTTGTAAATAACCCAAAGCCCCATAGAAGCTGACTTTAGGAAAACCAACAATACTTCTTTCTCTCAGGTAATCAGGGAGGGGGCCTGGCATCCCTCCAGCAGGGGGTGAGGGCAGCATCTGGGGGTATCCGATTGAATGAGACACCTGCCTGGCCCTCCTGCAGTTTAGAACCACACAAATAATCATTGGTCAACTTTGGATTCAAACGCAAATCTGTCAGGCTCAGACCTGTTGTTTGTTCTACTTGACCAAATAGCCATACAAAATAGAAGCCTTGGAGAGTAAAAACCTCCACAGAGCACGAAGCTTAACTCGAGGCTTGCAAGGGAGCTGTTCTCCAAAAGGAAAAACATCTTTTCATACTGTGTTTTATTAGATTCCACCTCAGGAGTTCCCCAATACGTACCATGGTGCTGTATTTTGTCTACAATCTCTATTCATGTAACAAACACATTCTACCATATTGCTTCTTTAGTTGCTAGGCTAATTTACATGAAACCAATCTAAAAGCTTAGGTACTCCAAAGCCTTCAAATACGTCCTGGGAAAGTGTGGGTGCTTCTCGATGGACCCCGACTATCTAGTAGCAGAAACGCTGAAGCCCAGCCCTTCCTCAGTTTAATTTCAAGCTTTATCACTAAAGTAAAAGCGCTTCGTGTTTATGGATGGATGTTGAGGGTGGCCTGTAGGGGTAAGGGCAGGCAGGCAGGCGGGCGGGTAGGCAGGCAGGCACACCCGTAACTGAGGGCATTCCTTTATTTATAGGACCTACTTTGGGGAAACAGTAGTTTTTATGGTGAAACCAATGTAGTTGGTTAAGCCTATTTAAAAAGAAAGAAAATATCAGTTGTCATTAGGGTGCAAGAATGTCGCTTTCCTGAAGCCCCTTCTATGCATATCTGAATGTATGTGAAAGATAATAATGTACCGTTTTGGAGAATAGGGACTGTAAAGAGACTAAGGAAATCCGATTTTATTTATTTTTTATTTTTTGCCTTTTAAAATTCACACTGAACTTCCACAGCTTGTTGCTGGGATGTTTTAATCTTTAGGGAAATTGAGAACAGTTGATGGAGCCATTTCTCTTGAACGGGGCATATAGCATTAAGTTGGTGAGCCATTCTGTCTGAGATACATTCCTTTACCCTCCCTCTCCTTTGCCAAAGCCAGTACTCGAGAGTTCTGAATGTCGATGCGGTCACAGGTCTTTGCGTTTCATGCTTTCCTCCCTGCGTTTTACTTGCGCAGTTTTAGAGCAAAATTAACCGAGCTTAGACAACGTCAGAGCAGTTTAGCTGGTTAAACCAAGACCAGAGCATCTTCCTTGGTTAGTGGGTGGGTATGAAGAGAGGACCGAGGACCCTCATCATTGGACCGCGTCAGGAGGAAGTGGCCCCACTCCGAGGAAGGGAAGAAGGATATATAGCGGGAAGTCCATCGCATACGTCTCAGAGAAACTTAGACAACTAAGTGCACGGTGTTGGAGAGAAGGAACAGAAAGAACACGGAAGCCTAACCCAGGAGCGCTCCAGCTTCCCAGCAGACTCATCCCAGCTAACCCACCCACCCCCAAGCAGGTGAGCTGCCACCGCGCCTATCCCTTCCTCTCCCTCCTCCATGAACTTGGCAAGAGCTGGGCACCTTCGCTCCCCTCCGCAGCCCAGTCCCCTAAGCTCCGACCAGGATGAGGTTGAGATCGACGTGCTGGCAGAGGAGGAAGATGGAGACCAGACGGAGGACGACGAGGAGAAGGCGGAGGAGATAAGCCAGAAGTGCCTGGAGCCGCCGCTGCCGGGGCCCGGAGCCCGCACGCTTCCCGGGAGGAGCGCGGGGGACCGCGGCGGCCTGAGCAACTCCTCGGGATTCATCCGTAAGTTCCGAGCGCCGGGGACAGCCGCGACCGCCGCAGCCGACGGCCCGCAGCCCGCCAAGCCGCCGTACTCCTACATCGCGCTCATCACCATGGCCATCCTGCAGAGCCCGCACAAGCGCCTGACGCTCAGCGGCATCTGCGCCTTCATCAGCGGCCGCTTCCCCTATTACCGCCGCAAGTTCCCCGCCTGGCAGAACAGCATCCGCCACAACCTGTCGCTCAACGACTGCTTCGTCAAAATCCCCCGCGAGCCCGGCCACCCGGGCAAGGGCAACTACTGGAGCCTGGACCCAGCCTCCCAGGACATGTTCGATAACGGCAGCTTCCTCCGGCGCAGGAAGCGCTTCAAGCGCCACCACCCGCCCCCGGGAGGCCCCCCGCACGGCCCCTTCCCTCCGCCCGCTGGGCCCGCCACCCTGCACGTCTCCCACCCCAGCCTCCTGTTCCGCTACTCTGCCCCGTCGCAGCCTGGCCTCGCAGCCCATCCTGCCGCCCCGCCCGGGAGCCGCCCGTGCGCGCCACTGCACCCGCATCCGCTCCGCTACCTACTGCTCGCCGCCCCCGCCTACGCCGAAGCGTCCAGAAAAGCCCAAGAGGCGGACCCGGCTACACCCCGCGCCATCCCCGCGCTGCAACCGGTCCTGGGTTCCCAGCCTTGGGACTGGGACGAGGGCTCCGGATCTCGGCCCGGACGTGGGTGTACCTCCTTCACCATCGAGAGTATCATGCAGGGGGTGAGAGGAGGAGGAGGAGGAACCGGGGCTGCTCAGAGTCCGCCCTCCGCTCCGTGGAGCTACTGCCACCTGCTGCAGCACCGGTCCTGCCTGCTGCACCCCCAGGCCGTTTCCCCTTTGCTGCAAGTGTCCGCCGCCGCCCGGACAATGCTGCAGCAGCAGCCTCAGCAGGAGCAGCAGCAGCAGCACTGTGCCCGGAGCTGCGCTCCAGGTAAAGGCATGCGCCTGGGCCGACACCTGTCGGCCGTTGCTGCGCTGCTGAGGCATCAGCCTGCGGCCGAGGACTGCAGGCTGACAACTCTGGCCGCTCTTTCGGGCCGAGAGGGGACCTTGCCTGCATTTTAAACAACATCTGCGCCCAGCCTCCAGGCTGATTCACCCTGGCACACCTGGAGCCAAGTGGCAGGGTGGAACCACTCGCTGTCTGGGTTTGTACCCCACCCCCCCTGCGCGCCTGCTAGGCTTGTGCGTGGAAAACCAGCAGCGGAGCATGCACTAAGTCCCACCAAACTGTTATTACTGTGTTCTGCTCCCTTGGTGACCCGAACGCAGGGAAATCTGGGGGCTTCAAGTCTCGCTTTGTCTTGTCCGCTTCAGTTGTGGCTTCCACGGCTTTTCCGATTTGCATACTTCCTGGGGACCTATGAACTATGAACGTGAGTGAGATGTTTCGTTGTTAATAAAAACAGAACATCTGGCAACACAAAAACACCTTCCCCCCATCTTCATTCCCTAGGGACTGCAAGTGTTCCCCAGTCAAATGCAGAATGCGTACATGCTCTGATTCCCGAAATCCGTATGTAATATAAGTAGAACAATTTCGGAACTTTTATTTCTTGTGTCTGTGGCGTGCCCTACTCCAGCGGGGAGTGTTAAAATTAAACCTAGTAATACAGATTGAATAAAATACTAAATCGGGATGCTATATCTCTTGTTTCCTTTTATGTCTCTTTATTCGCTTTCATAAATGAAATTTCTTTTAAAATTTACATTCTTATCTAAAAATTCGTTTTCATGCCTTATATCCATTAAAAATATCAGGAATGACACATTTTAAGTGTGGGCTTTAAAATTCCTATTATCTGTGGACGTAAAGTTTATCTTATAAAATAGTTTTAATACTTATGAAACTTCTAGAAGGAAAAGAATTAGAGTAATTAATACAGCCTCCATTCTGTCTCACCCCCACCCATCACTTTCTTGTTTTGGTTTTTGAAAGGGGAGTTTCCGCAGTGTGGTTCTTCGTGGCCCAGAACCAGCGACCTTCTTATTTCAGACTCCAGAATTCTTAGCATGCCCCATCACGCCGAGTTTATTCGTTATTTTTCGAAAGTTGATTATTTTTCTGAAGCAAACAGGAGGATGACTGCAGATCAATTTGAAACAAAGCGCTTCTACTCTTGGAAAATAAACGGCTATTCGGTATATTTAAACAAATACTAGTATTTTCATGGCATTTTCCTTAAAAAATAATTTCTGAGCGGCCTTTGCAACAGCGATTCAGCTTCAGGGTGCAGGGAAAACAAGACAATGCCCATCACCTACGGCGGCCAGAAAAGGCGGGATTTTAGAGGTTGGGTCCATCTTAAGCAGGTTCTATAATTAGTGGCTTTGGGGGAGAGGTACTCTGAATAGAGGAAATGGTTCGCACTCCCCACTCTTAGCAACGAAGTTCACATTTTTATTGCTTACACTCCATAGCCCAGAACTCCACCCCATCTGCTGCCCCCACCCCTTCCGACTTGAGTGCTTTGTGGGACCTTCTGGAAAGTTCCTCAACTCAGACCTTGGTAGCTTTGAGCATTCAAGCAGGCGGCTCTCCTCCGCTTGGCCCCTGGCCCCTGGGTCCTCACATTACCAGCTCTTCGATGGCCAGAGGCAGTCTGAGAGTTTAGAAGCAAATAAAAAAGATAACGGTCCTCTATCCCTCTTCTCCGTTGTGCTGTTCTGCTTTGCACTTTTTGTGCAAAGATGTCTTGAGCCTGGTCACCTTCAGGTATTCAGCTAACTTTGCCTCCCTGCTGCCCCAGCGCTCTAGCTGAACCCCGGACAGGAATGATTCCTGGCTGGGCTCCACGGAATTCCCATTCCTTCCGCGGCGCCCAAACCCGGCCCAGCACGAGGATGAGCGACCAGAGCCTGGCCCAGGCTCGCCCCTCAGCTGTAATGCTTCTCAAGTGAAACCAAACAAGACCAGACTTTCCAAGACCATTGCTGGAATGGCGAGGTAAGATGAAGGTCGTTCCAGGAGTCCACTGGGCCAGAGCGCCCTGAGGACTGGGACAGCTCGAACCTCCTCCGGGTGCTACCTGCACCGAGCCAGCTCAGTTGGCAGAGGGGACCGTGCCGCAGTGGCGGCTCCTGAGAACCCGTAGCCGACCCGGCCGGGCGTCCTTGGAGCACTCGAGGGCGCGTGGCTGGAACGCAGCGTGCTCAGCCTGGTCACGCACACCGGCTCCTCCAGACCCACGGTAGCCCCAGCCCGCTGGTCTGGATTACACGTCTTGGGGTGGGTTTTAAAAACCATGTGGCTTCTGAGACCCCGAAGGCTGGAGGGTCTCGTTGGGGACAGACTGACTGGGTGCGCCCAGAACGGAATCGAGTGCGGGCCCTTCCCACCAGCCTCGGCGAGCAGGAGGGGACTGACGCAGTCTCTGCCTTCCAGGAATGAAAGACATACACCATTAGCTGCTCTCGGTCCCCTACTCCTGGTGCGCCAAGCACTAAATCCACGGAGGAACACTCTGTAGAAACGCACCGTTTGCAAAGGAGAACTTTCCAACTAGGAGAAATTGTTTCCTAAGGACCTCCAGGTGGCAACGTCCAGGCACGTGTGGTTTCTAACCCATGAACTCTTCACGAACGTGTGGCCTCCTGCCCCAGCCTCCCGGGGGAGGCCTCAAGGTCAAGACCAGGAGCCCACCAGGTCACTAGAACCGAAGCAGCTAGGAAGGAATCAGGAAAGAATTCAAGGAGTGACTTTGTTCTAGTTCCTCCTGGCGGTCCCTAAGAACCTGGTGACCTGGAGTAGGAGAGATTTCCGCAACACCCAACCTGCAGGCCGAGAGCCACCTCCTTCCGGTAGTCTTCGGTAGTCTTCGGCCAAGGGAGCAGTCCCCAAAGTGACTTGCTCTCCTGCCCGCTGCTTGCTGCTCAGGACAGGGAATCCAGGTGCTTTGCAACGTGCCTGAAAGAAAGCTTGAGACGGAATCAGCGGGCCAGCAGTGCGAAGGTACTGTTTCTCAAGTGCCTGGTCCTGAAACCGCTTTCATCTCTAGATGCAGTATCAGCCACTCCTTTGGTTTAGATTCCGTGACAGTCTACAGCTGCACCAGAAACGAGGGGCAAACACTGGCTTCAACAGTGTTAAGGCTGGCAGCGAGAGGAAACTAATGGTAACTTCTAAGATGGGACCTGTGGGAGACTGTTGAGCATTTACAGAGATAACTCAGGAAAAATTTCCGACATCAACATACGATTACAACCTACACGAAAATGTTGCTTGAATTGCTAATGTCACCTTGTAATTTTTAGTCTTAATAGCTGCTCCCCCACACACACATCGATCGGCCCTGAGATGATTTCAATGCTTTTTAAGCGTTGGTTGACTTCCTATGTGCAAGCACTAACTGAAAAGAATTCGTGCAGGTGACAGCTAATGGTACCAAAATTGACTTCCCACAAAAGAAAAATTTACAGGCAGGAAAAGAGCAAGCATTTGAGACCACAATGTGAAATTTACTTCCACCTTAGTTCCCTCTGCTCAACTCCCTTAACAAGCTGAGGTACCTGGATGTAAACCCCAGCTCCTTTTCCACAGGGTACAGGCATGTGTCTACTGCAGTCAATGACTAAGAATGTTTTAGGACAGTCATGACTTCCTTACAGTGAAGCAGTTTTTCTTCCCCAGCCAGGCAAAGAAAACAATGAGATTAAATGAAGCTTAAGAGGTACGAGTTTTTCTGTGCATACTGTGAGTCTATTTAAGGCAGTACTTATGACCCATAGGTTATAAATTATGGTGACCGTTATTACTATCCGTGCCATTTTTCTTTCTCTCTTTTTCTTTTTTCTTCTCTTCCTCTTCCTCCTCTTCCTCCCCTCCCCCTCCCCTCCCCCTCCTCCTCCTCCTCCTCCTCCTCCTCCTCCTCCTCCTCTCCTCTTCTTCTTCTTCTTGACAGGGTCTCACTTTGTAGCTCTGGCTGTCCTGGAACTTCATGTGTAGACCAGGCTGGTCTCGAACTCACAGAAATCCCCGGCCTCTGACTCCTGAGTGCTGGGATTAAAGGTGTGCACCATCACACCCAGCAGTATGCCATTTTTCAAATGCTAATTTATTCCATTTAAAAATGGAATAAATTAGAACACTGTAACTTACTTCTGTGATAATTACTTGTAGTTTAGTCTGTTGTAACTAACCGGTTCATCTTTGCCATCATACTGTTCTCTCCTCTCCAGGTTATTTTGTGACAAATCCAAGATCATAGCACTTCATCCATAAATATTTTTTGAATATTTCTGAAAAGACAAGAATTGCATCAACGTAACATTATTACTATTGTTACACCAAAACATTTCACTGACTATCAATTTATCTAGGTAATATTAAATATCCTTAATTATCTCCAAAGAAAGTTTTAAAAAGTTTGTTTGAGCACAGCCTGGTGGTACAAACATTAGGGAGGGAGATGGGGAAAGAACTCTGTAAGTTCCAGGCCAGTCAAGGCCACAGTAGTGACACCCTGCATCACAAGACAAAAAAAAAAAAAAATACAAAACAAAGACAAAACCACAAAATGGACCAAAAAAGCTGTAAGTGTGAACAATGGTGATCAGGTGCTAACATTCCATGGACTAGTGTCTTATTTGAACAATGGTGATCAGGTGCTAACATTCCGTGGACTAGTCTCTTATTTGAACAATGGTGATCAGGTGCTAACATTCCGTGGACTAGTCTCTTATTTGAACAATGGTGATCAGGTGCTAACATTCCGTGGACTAGTCTCTTATTTGAACAATGGTGATCAGGTGCTAACATTCCGTGGACTAGTCTCTTATTTGAACAATGGTGATCAGGTGCTAACATTCCGTGGACTAGTCTCTTATTTGAACAATGGTGATCAGGTGCTAACATTCCGTGGACTAGTGTCTTATTTGAACAATGGTGATCAGGTGCTAACATTCCGTGGACTAGTCTCTTATTTGAACAATGGTGACCAGGTGCTAACATTCCGTGGACTAGTCTCTTATTTGAACAATGGTGATCAGGTGCTAACATTCCGTGGACTAGTCTCTTATTTGAACAATGGTGACCAGGTGCTAACATTCCGTGGACTAGTCTCTTATTTGAACAATGGTGATCAGGTGCTAACATTCCATGGACTAGTCTCTTATTTGAACAATGGTGATCAGGTGCTAACATTCCGTGGACTAGTCTCTTATTTGAACAATGGTGATCAGGTGCTAACATTCCGTGGACTAGTCTCTTATTTGAACAATGGTGATCAGGTGCTAACATTCCGTGGACTAGTCTCTTATTTGAACAATGGTGATCAGGTGCTAACATTCCATGGACTAGTGTCTTATTTGAACAATGGTGATCAGGTGCTAACATTCCGTGGACTAGTCTCTTATTTGAACAATGGTGACCAGGTGCTAACATTCCGTGGACTAGTCTCTTATTTGAACAATGGTGATCAGGTGCTAACATTCCGTGGACTAGTCTCTTATTTGAACAATGGTGACCAGGTGCTAACATTCCGTGGACTAGTCTCTTATTTGAACAATGGTGATCAGGTGCTAACATTCCATGGACTAGTGTCTTATTTGAACAATGGTGATCAGGTGCTAACATTCCGTGGACTAGTCTCTTATTTGAACAATGGTGACCATGTGCTAACATTCCGTGGACTAGTGTCTT